ATTGCCAAGATTAATCTTGTGGATTTTCTTTGGAGCTTATATTTAAGCCTCTAATCAATTTTTTTTTAAAACTTTATTTTATATGCATTGGTGTGAACGTGTCAGATCCCCTGGAACTAGAATTACAGACATTTGTGAGCTGCCATGTGGGTGCTGGGAATTGAACCCGGGTCCTCTGAAAGAGCAGCCAGTACTCTTAACCGCTGAGCCATCTCTCCAGCGCAGGCTCTAATCAATTTTGGATGGGTTTTTGTGTACAATGCAAGAGCATATTTAATGGAACAGGAATAGTCAGCTCTCCCCACATCATTTGTGGAAGAGACTATTCTTTCTGTGGTGTGTCACCTCATTAAACACTAGGTGACTGTATGTGCAGAATCTGTCTGGTTTTGTACCAGTGTCCTACTGTTTGGATTATTCTAACTTTAAAACATCGTTTGGACTTTGGGAATATTATTCCACTATGTTTATTCTTATTACTCAAAGTCTCTTGGCTATTCAGAGTCTTTTGTAGTTCCACATGAATATCAGCATTGTTCTGTTTCTGTAAAATATGTCAAAGGGGGCCAGGCAGTGGTGGTGCATGCCTTTAATCCCAGCACTCGAGATGCAGAGCCAGGCAGATCTCTGTGAGTTCAAGACCAGCCTGGTCTAAAAAGTGAGTTCCAGGACAGGCTCCAAAGCTACAGAGAAACCTTGCCTTATAAAACCAATATATATGTCAAAGGATGTTTAAGATTTTTTTAACATATTGATTATATATGACAATGAGTTTTATTATAACATTTATGCCATTGGATTTTTGGTAGAGATTGTATTCAATGTATGCAACACTTTGAGAAGTGTTTCTTTCTTTCTCTCTCTCTCTCTCTCTCTCTCTCTCTCTCTCTCTCTCTCTTTCTTTCTTTTTCTTTTTGAAACAGGGTTTCTCTGTGTAGTTTTGGTGCCTGTCCAGGATCTCGCTCTGTAGACCAGGCTGGCCTTGAACTCACAGAGATCCACCTGCCTCTGCCTCCCGAGTGCTGGGATTAAAGGTGTGCGCCACCACCGCCCAGATGTTTTCTTAACATATGTTAATGTCTCCAATCTGTGACAGCCTTGTACTTATTGGTGTTTCACTCAGTTTCTTCCATCAAGGCTTTAAAATTTTTCAGGGCATAGGTCTTTCATCTCCCTGGTTAAATTCATTCCTTAAGTATCTTACTCTTTTTTGGTACTGTTATAAATGGGATTTTTCTCTCTCCCTTTTTCTTTTTCCTTCCTTTCCTCCCTCCACCCCTTTCAGGGTCTCATGCATTCCAGACCAGCAGGCCTTGAGCTCGCTGCATACCTGAGAGCGATCTTGAATTTTTGATCTTCTTCGCTCCACCACAAGTGCAAGGATTACAAACATCCACTACCACATCTGGTTTGTACAGTGCTCGAGGTCAAACCCAGCGCTTTGTGCACGCTCGACAAGCACTCTACCTACCCACTGAGCCCTAGCCCAGGCCTCTAATTTCTCTTTTAGATAGTTCCTTCATAGTGTGTAGACGTGTTCCTGACCTTTGTGTGTCAGCTTTGTGTCCTGGAGTATGTTATTGATCATTTCCCGTCGTTTGCTGGTTGAGTCTTCAGGGTTTACATATGTCAGGCTGTGTCTTCACAAACACAATGTAATTTCTTCCTTTTCAGTTTGGATGCCTTTTCCTACTCTGACTAGACACCCCCTCTCCCCAGTCTCTCGCTCCTTGTTCTGGGGACTGAATCTAAGGCCTTGTGCCACTGAGCTCTATTCCCAACTTCACTTCTTCTTTTTCCCCTTCTTTTTGTTGTCCTTGGATTTTACTTTTATTTGAGACAGGGTTTCAAGCTCAGGCAGGCCTTGAACTTGCTATGTAGCCAGAGATGACCCAGAACTCCTGATCCTCCTGCTTTCACTTCCCAAGTGTTAGGATCACAGGCATGTGCCATCACACTCAGCTGAGTCAACAGTTCTTAGCCCGACTTCCCTGGCAACTTTTCTACTCTCTTCTGTGACGATTCGAGTTCAAACCCGGCATTTCCATTGCAACCCATAATCAAAGCGTGCAATTAAGCTAAATATGGCAGTGACATTCTAACTAAAATGAATAGTTACAATAAAATATAGTTACAAAGTATTGGCTTGGAGTTGATAAAATTAACCTTGCAGTCTTTCAACAAAAGTACTCTTTCCACACTCGGTTGGAATCATGAAAAATACGCATCTAAGCTTTGACGGCTGCAGTGTGAAAATGAAAGTAAGAATATCTTCCTCTTTCTATACGTAACGAAAGGAAGAGAAGGTGTGGGGGGAAACAGGGAGATGAAATGAGTGGAAAAAGAAGAGCGGGAGGAAGGGAGGTGACAGTTTCTCAGCAGAGCACCCAACCGTTTGTCCCCAAGAGTTCAAGAGCTGTGCTGGAGTCGAAGCTCAGCATCTGCCTAGCAGTTTTGAGGCCCTGAGTTCAATCCCCAGTACCACCAAAAAATAAAATAAGTTAGATAAAAGATGCAGCACAGTGTGTCCAAGAGAGACAGACGGACAGACAGACAGAAGAGAGATGGCAGAGACAGACAGACAGACAGAAAGTCATACACCGGGTATCAGAATCAAGAGTGTTACTATTATTATTTTGCCAGCCAGGCCAGAGTTCTACCCCCGAGCTACACTGCAGTCCCTTCAGGATTCTCTAATCCATGTAGCTAAAGCTCTAAGTGACATGAGATAAATTGTACGGAGGCACATAAATGGGGCACACTAGGTGTCCAATGTCTGAAGTCACCCCCTCTGAATCTGCATTTGTGCCGATGGTAGAAAATTTGTGAAGGACAAGTGCTCATCCATTCTTCCCTTTACAGGCTTTTGTTACTGTTTTCTCGCCTGGTCCTAACTCACTGCATTGGGTGTTAAATTCAGTAGGATTCGCTGGTGGCTTTGAGCACTGACTATGCGCCAGCCTCCCCCCACCCCCCCAAACACCAGAAGCCTCCTGTTAGTTTGCACCCCTGTAAGCTTCTCTTTTCCCCTCACGCCTCAGAGAGAGTCAGTGTTGGGGTGGAGACTTTTTATGGGTCAGGATCCACTCATTAAGACCATGATGTGTCTAAATTCATGTTACACCGTGTGCAAAATGCTCGCAAACCAGGTAATTTGAAAGGCAAAGAGCCGCAGCTTTGATCCGTAATGATTTTACATTCTGCCTAGCAGAGCCCTTGCATGTTTCTGTCAATCACAAGGCATAAGGCTGTGCACACAGATGCAGAGAGTTCGCCGGGGTAGATGATGGATGTCACTGTTGGCCTCAAACTTTAATTCTTCCCTCAGCCTCCTAAGCTCTGGGATGACAGGTGCGCAGCAGCACCACCTGCCATTCCTGTCTTTTTTCCTTCTTTTAATGTCATCGTTGACAGAATCGGACTCTGGTGCTGAGGCAGGAGGACCTGCCTGAGAACAGGGCACACACCAAATGCCGTTCTGTAGTTCTCTAGGAGGCAGTTTCTAGCTTCCCAGCACCAGGCATTCAGGTGCACATAGATGGTCAAGCAGCAGAAGAGCATGAAGTACCAGCGAGTGCCCCCCACCCCCACCCCGCTTGCCTTGTGGGAAAGCAGAATGATCACACGGGAAATTGAGGGTTTGAGGCTCCGTTCTTCCAATCTGAAAGCAGTAACAGGAATTGTGGAGTGCGGCCTGGCAGGAAAGTTTCAGCCAAAGGGGTTGTTTATCTTTCTAACCCTTCAGCCTCATCAAGAGACACCACCAACTTAAATAAAACTCAAATCAAGGAGCTTTGAAGCTGGCTGGTCTTCCAGTGGTCCTCGGGATGAAGGGTAGAGGTTATATCACCTAATCTAGGACCAGCCTATGTTAACTGGCTGGTTTTTTTTTTTTTTTTTTTTTTTGTTTGTTTGTTTTGTTTGAGACAGGGTCTCTCTGTTATGTAGCTCTGGCAATCTGGAACTTGTTGTGTAGACCAGGCTGGCCTCAAACTAATCGAGATCCTCCTGCCTCTGCCAAACAAGCCCTGGGATTAAAGGCACGGGCCACCACTCCTGGCAACTGGTTGTAATTTTAACCTTGTATGTATGGCAAAATACATTTCCTGTTTAATCATGTTAAGTAAACAAGCTCGTGGCAGTCATTACATTAATGGCACTGATGACCAAGTTCATTTTGTTGTCCGCACAGCAAGCAGATCTGAGTTGGGGGAAGGCAGTGGAACAGGAGCCTATGTCTATGGGACAGAAGAAAGCTGCCTGGCTTTGTAGAATTTTCTTCATTTAGCAGTGAGGGAGAAAAAAAATAAATAGCAGACATAAATAAGTAGATTATGCAGGTGTTAGCAGGTGATAAAAAGCTGTAGTTAGTACCTGGGTTCAATGTGCCCAGTACCTGCTGACGTCTATGTCTTCAGATAGCCGAAGACCTTTGCCATCTCTAACCCATTCCCAACTAAACCCAGCCCCTAAAGACAATACAGTAAAATACAGACAGTTCGCTGGTTACTAAGTATCCAACAAACTGATGGCCGCGAGGCTTGTCAGGATCAGAGTGTAAAGGTCTCAACCACACATAAACGGCATGCTTTCCCGGAACAATTTTCACTTTCAGAACAGCTATCAAGACCCTGAATTTAAACAGAAAGGCATGCCTTGTTCGTGAATAATGTGCTGACATTTTAAAAAGAGGGGCTCCATAGAAATATGCACATTTGTAATTTTAAGTTTGATTTTAAAAAAGACCAGTGAGATGGTTCAGTAGGTTAAGGCGATTGGCACCAAGCCTCCTATGAGTGCTCGTACACACACAAATAAATGTAATAAAAAAAAAAGTCAGGTGGTGGTGGCAGCGGCGCACATCTTTAATCCCAGCACTCAGGAGGCAGAGGCAGGTGGATCTCTGTGAGTTCGAGGCCAGCCTGGTCTACAGAGTGAGTTTCAGGACAGCCAGGGCTGTTATACAGAGAAACCCTGTCTCAAAAAACAAAAACAAACAAACAAACAAACAAAAAAACCAAAGCCCCCCTCCAAAAAACAAAACAAACAAAAATGTAGTAAAAAAATTAAAAGAGAGATAATTGCATTTTGAAAATTCTTTCACCTCAAATATTTAAAGTAACCAAAGAGGAAAGGAGTGAGGGATGAAATGGGTTGTCACACTGTGTGGTGAGATTGGGAAGAACTCCAAAGTACTTTCTTCTGAAGTTCACAAGGAATGTGTGTGTGTGTGTAAAAGTTTACTATAAGCGAACATGGAAAGGGAGGGAAATAGTAAGCACATGATTCTTTGTTGTTTGTTTTTTTGAGACAGGGTTTCTCTGTGTAGCTTTGGCCCCTTTCCTGGAACTCACTCTGTAGCCCAGACTGGCCTCGAACTCACAGAGATCTGCCTGCCTCTGTCTCCTGAGTGCTGGGATTAAAGGCGTGTGCCACCACCGCCCGGCCCTTATTCATTCTTTCTTTGCACAAAATTTATTATGTGCAAGGCAATATGTTGGATGCTATGGGGGATATGGATTGTCTAAGATGTGGCCCCTGGCACAAGAAGCTTTAGGCATGTCCGACTGGCACCCATTGGCTGCAGGTGCTCCAGGACAGCTGTGAATATGACCCAATACATTTGTAGATGACAATGTCGTGTTGCAATGTCAAAGATTGCTCTGGACGTGTTCAGCTGCTTCTTCAGTGTCTGCTGTCAGAACCTTTTTGGGATGTCTTTCTCTGCCAAGACTGTATTCAGAAGCTGGGTGTGGGGCAAGCTGGAGCTCCTGTGGGATGTTCAGGCTCTGGGCCTGGCTGGATTCTCAGGCATAGGCATCTGCTCCCTGCTTGGCTGGCAAGCAGGATCCTGGTGATCAAAGGGCTCCCTGGGCAGCCGCTAATGCAGTCAGTGCATTAGGGCACTGGGTGATGTTGGTGGCAGATCTGAAGCCTGTTGTACTTCTTCAGTAGTTCAGTGGTAGTTGCAAGTTCCCTGCACTAGGAACTGGGGTCCAGGGAGAACCGGGCACCAATTACAAGCCAGGTTGCCCAGGATCCCAGCACTGGGAATTGGAAAAGCATGAACATGCATGGACACTGAGGCCAGAAGCTCAGGAAGATAAGCTGGGCTACTCAGGAGCCCAGCACCAGGGATCATAAGTCAAGTGGTGTTAGATTCCATGTGACTTCAGGCCAACACCTGTGACTTCAGGCCAACACCTGTGACTTCAGGCCAACACCTGTGACTTCAGGCCAACACCTGTTCAGCCTTCATGCCACACTCACGCTTGGTTTCTTGCTTTCTTCTTTGTTCCTGCACCAGCTCAGCTCGCACCACTGAAAGCAAGGAAGAAAAGACCACTTGAGAGAAGAGAAGTCTTCATCGGATTTCACATGGGGGGCGGGGGCAGCTCCAGCTGACTCCCTGGGTGAGCCTAAGTAGCTTGGGGAGATGCTTAGACCAGTCACAGTCTTTCATTTGGGGGTCAATTAGTGGCCCTTGCTCCAGCCAATTATGACCAATCACAGTCATTAAGGATGGGGTTTTAAACCAAGCTTAGCCCTGCCCCTTATCAACCACAGTAGCCCCTCCAAGAAAAGTGCTTCCTGTCTGTCAAGGGGTGAATAGTTTCTTGAAGCTTATGATTGCAAAAAGTCGGAAACAACCTGCTTTGAACAGCTCTGGCTGGGGTTGTGCCTTCAGGAGCTGGGGGCAATCAGCTGCTCTCTGGGTGCAGTTATCTCAAAGTCTGTCACCACGGGAGATGGAGGCAGAAGAGGAGTCTGGCTAGCTCTTAGACAAATCGGCCTTTTGCTCAAGGCAGTTCAGGCAACAGGAGAGAGTTCAACAGCTGCCAGTCAGGGAGTCAGATCCCCCCTCCCCAGTGTCTTTGCTTATTTATGGGAAAACGAACCTTAGAAGGCATTCGTATAATATAAACTTGAACTTATTAACACTAACAGCGATTTTTAACACGTTTAAAAAATGCTCTAACAAAGTTTAATATCTGCCCAGTTTTCCTGAGGAGAGGTGGATCTGCTTAATCTGCCTGTAATCCCAGCCCTGGGAGCCTGAAGCAGGGGGATTGTGGAGGATTTTGAGTTCAATATCGGTAGGGTCCACAGCATAGAGACCCCCATCTCAACAATAACAAAACATGATGATGATGGTAAAATTAAGAAAGGCTTGTTGTCAATACTTGCCATGTGAGGTAGTGTATTACTCAGGGGTCTCTAGAGGAACAGAACTTAGAGGATCCATATATATGGGACTTATTAGAATGGCTTACAGGCTGTGGTTCAGCTCGTCCAACAATGGCTGCCTATGAATGGAAGGTCCAAGAATCAAGTAGCTATTCAGTCCACGAAGCTGGATGTCTCAGCTGGTCTTCAGTATATGCCAGAAGCCAGAAAAAGTAGGCTCTAATGCCAGTAAAGGAAATGGACTTTGCAAAGAGAGCAAGCTTCTTTCTTCCACGTCCTCTATGTAGGCTGCCTGCCGAAGGTGTGGCCCAGATTAAAGGGAGATCTTCCCACCTCAAAGATCTGGGTTAGAGTGGGTCTTCCCATTTCAAATGATACCCTTAAGAAAAAAAAAAAAAAAAAAAGCCTCACAGGTGTGCCCTGCCATCTGGATTTTAGTTAAGATGTAGGTTTAGTTCTCAGTTTTAGTTCCAGATGTAGCCAAGTTGACAACCAAGAATGGCCATGACAGGCAGCACCGAGGTGCTTGTAGGAGATGCTTACTCCGTGGCTGTAAGAATATAATGACTCTGTTAAATTCTTCTTGCAAATACTGTTTTCAAGAGCTGTTTGACTGGAGAACTTGGCCAGGTGTGGTTTGTCTCGGTCAGTTCCTGTTGTTCTTTTCTCCATCACCCCTCTTTCCAGCTGGTTCCTACAACACCAGGATAAAGGAGCATTGCTATCTGCTGTGGGGAACATCCAGGAATTCTCCTACCATCGGATCCTTGTTTGTTTTTTTTTGTTTTTTTAAGAAACAGAGAAGACAATGGGATTGTGTTTATTTTAAACCTACTTTGTTGTTCTGACTGCCCATCTGTATTGGTTTTTAGACCTATTTTGGATGTAAACATGCCTGGATAAATGGGGCCTGACCTAGAGTGAGCAAGTCTAGTGGTCCTCCTGCCTCCATCTCCCACTGCCTATTTACCTGGTGCTTATCTGCTTATCCATCTGGTGTGTGCTGGGATCACACACACACACACACATACACACCAGACCTCACTTACTTCGAGCAAAATTTGGGGACCTAGGCCCCACTCTCCAATGCAGGACCTGTAGTCACCACAGGAGTCTATCTCAGCTTCTCCTTCCCCTAGGCTCTGAGATTAACAATGATGATGAGGCGCTGTGTGCAGGAGGAAGAGATGCGTTTTCATTGTGACTCCCACATCCTTTTGACTCCTGGACTTTTGTTTTCTCAGCTACAACTGGAAACAAGTGAAGTCTAGCAAGTGTGATCTCAGCCACTGGCGGGGTGGAGGCAGGAGGATGGCGGGGTGGAGGCAGGAGGACTGCTGGTTTGAAGTCAGCCTGGGCTAGAAAATAAGATCCTGTCTCAAAACAAAAAACAAAACAAAAAAACAAACAAACAAAAACAAGCAAAAGCACCCAACAATTAAAATAAGGCCAGAGAAGGGGTAGCGGTCAATGCAAGCTCTAACTGTACCTGTGTTGTATAGCAATGCTGTTGTAAAGGGCTCCACCTATTTGTGAGTAGACAGAGCTATTATTGTGGAGGTTCAGGGCCCCAAAATAAGAGCTCTGAGAGTCAAGATCTTCCTGATCTGAAAGAAACAGACCTCAAAGGACAAGTGTCTTCTGGCTTTACTTTCTTCATGTGTGACATGGTGTGATGTCTCGTTCAGATGTGAGGACTCACTGAGTGACAATATGCAAGGCACATAGCAGAGGGCTGGGTACCCAGTGATGCGACACCCCCTAAATGGAATTCTCTGTCCAAGTGCATGAGAAAATGGGGGTAGGGAGAGGCACCCTGAAGCCAGGAAGAGGGCAGCACAAGCTGAGTGCCCCTACTCCCCCTGGTGATGCTGTGATGTGTGACCTGGTGGGAGGCACTGTGGGAAGATTTCACCAAGCATAACAAATGACCCAGTTACAGGCTTGGGGCTGAGGTGATGCTCAAGCCTTCTTTAAACCGTGGCTTTGGTGCAGCGTAATGAGATGCTGCTTTCATCCTGGAGGGGAGGTGGAAGTCAGGCAACTGTAACAGGCTTCGCCATCCAATTAGTCACTTGATCTTAATAGAAAAAAAAAAGTGAGCCGATCCTCTGGGTTTTGCCGCACTTATCTAGGCCATTTCCAGTTTTTTCACACAGTCGATCAGTTCTGCGCCACTGACACAAGTCCATAACATTTGCAAGAAATAGGATTTCTCAAAAGGTCACATGCACATCTTCAGCGCAAAGCAGCCAAGCATAACTTCAAACCAACAAAAATCTCACTTCCTAAAGCAGGGGTGGGTTTTGAGGCAGCCTCTCAAAAACCATGTACGTGATTCATTTGACAATCTCCTGTGATTATTTTTTGATGATTAAAAGCCCAACATTCTCCCCAAAAATCTTTCCAGTGTGTTTTTGGGACCATTCTTCTGTGTTCAGAGAGGAAACAAACACACAGAAACAACAACAAAAACCCCAATGCTTACTGGATCTTGCAGCAATAAACACCTCCTCCCTGACCACTGAGTCCAGGCTAGACCCTTTGTCAGATTCTGTAGTGACCTCTCATTTCTGAAACGTATTTAAAGAGCAATGGCATCTCCAGGTTTCTAGTAAGGCCATGGAGAAGGCTAACTGAAGGGTCCTTTTTTTTTTTCCTGAGGCTTTGGCCAGTGGTGGAGAACTCCTTTATTCCCAGCTTCCTGTCACCAAGGATAGGCACGCATTATAAGCATCTTGACACCTACCGGAAAAAGTCACCCTCCCTCCCCACCCCAACAAATAACCTCTCTCTGTGACACACTGAGCATTTGCTCGGATCTGCCTGTGTCCTAGCTGTTCCCTTTGGCCTGTCCTTGGCTGTCTGCCAGATCAGGTTTTTTTTATCGACTGTCACACAGATCTTGGCTTTTCCTGTGTTGTTTCAACCACCTGCTAAGTCCTTCCTTCTTTTTTCGCTTATCTGACAGGGCCTTCCAGCCACTTAGCACCAAGTAGAATTTTTAAAAATACAATATAGTAATGCTAATATTCTGCCAGGTCGCCTACTCGTCCTTCATTCACTCTTGCAGCCGGTATTCACCAAGAACCCAGTGTAAGTTGCTCACCATTCTAGAACTTGGGATACTGTGTGGAGTAAGATAGTCCAGACTCTTGAAGGTTTTTATTGGAGTGTGGAAGACAGACAGTATACCGACAAGTAGCAGAGCTTCAGGTTGACAAAAGAGCTATCAGGAAAACATTTTAAACAACAACAAATGAGCCAATTAATTAATGTCTTTAAAAGGTAGGGTAAGGGCTCGAGCATGGCCATGTGGAGGCAGGGAAAGTTGCTTTGGGTAGTTCTTTGCTATTTGAGCACAAACTTAAATTATTAAAAGAAATCGTCCACCAACTAATACAAAAGAAGAATGTCTGAAGTGAAAGGAATGCAGGAAGTTCCTGAGACCTGAATGTTCTAGAGAGATAACGGGTGGGGCAGGGTACTGTAGGAAATGTGGTGGGTCGGAGAGGAAAGAGCTCGCCGGGCATTGAGTGGGGAGCGGAATCAAGAGCATCTCCTCAGTGTTCAGTTTGGTACCCTAAGAGATGATGGTGCTCGTCCCTAGTAGGAAACACTTGGGGAAGGAAGTGAATGTAGCTTTGTGTAGAGAGATAGCGGGGCTCTTGGATCTGGAAACGAGAGTTCCTGTTCCAACACATTAAGTTTGAGAGCCCTTTAGACATCGGCTCGTAGATGCAGGGCAGACTCTGGGCTGCATAAGAGTCCGTGGCCCAACAAGAGATATAATATAAACTTGGAACTCATCAAAAGCAAGGAGCCTAGATGACATCACTTCAGTAAACAATGTAGCTTGAATGAGAAGAGGCCAGTGCCCTGGGACCCAGCGGCATTTGGAAGTCAGGAAGGAGGTGCTGGAAGGGGGGCCTTGAACTCATGTCCTTGAGGTGCCCTACACATTCAGGCATGATGTACGGTATGCTAACAGCTTCGTGTGTGCTAGACTTGTCAGGGAGGACCATAGCTGCAAAGTTCCTCCACAAGAGCACCCTAGAAGCTGACAGTGTTTCATTGGCACATACGTTCTCGGTAGGGTCCTTGCTTGCCTGTGCTTCTCATGTTCCAAACTCTCAGAGCAGAAAGACACTGCCAGGATCCTGAAGAAACGGACTACTGGAGTGGGAGCTGTTTGAGCCATACGCTGAAGCACCGCCCCTAGTGAGGTAGCAGGTAACTGTTACACCTGCCCATGACCTTGATGGATATGCCCCTGGGCCATGGCCCTTGGTAGAAGTGGAGAGTTGGAGGAGGGGGGAACCCTTAAGACCTGGGATGCACATAAAGGGCTCTACCTCATGGTTTTGGATGTTGGGAGGGACCAGGGCAGAGCTCTCCAGAGAACAGCATTGGACCGTGCCTCACCCTTCCAGAATCCTGCAACAAATTCCTTTATTCTGTCTTGTGAGTTAACCCCCAAATAAATTCCTTTGATCTTTAAGCAGACTCCATGGATTGATAGCGATATAATCCCAATATCTGGTGCCCTGGGGCGTGGCTCAAACAGCTCCCACTACAGACTACCTCCCTTTTTGAGGGTTGACTTCTCACACTAGGTCAACCAGCAGGAAACAGAAGCAGAGAACATGAGGCAGAGCTCAACTGTGTCATAAGGCAGCCCGGGGCCACAGTGTTCATTAAAGTGTGGGCTGATCTTAGAGGAGCATCTCCTACCGCCTATCCACTAGACCAGCAGAATTCTCGCTGCTCTCTAAGACCTACCCTCATTCCCACAGATAAGTGTAGCTCTCTCTCATCTGACATCAAAGAAGCTTCTCTTTGCAGCAGAGACCATTCCAGAAAACCACAACTAGTCATAATGCAGAGATCAACTGACCGTGGGAAGTCCACCTCCAATAGATACAACCACAGTATGACTCCTGCGCCCAAGGCTTGGGGAACATTTGGAAGAGGGGCTGGAAAGGCTGTGAGAGGCAGAGGACCAGGACATCTGCTGAGGTTGCGTCTCCTGGAAATGAAGCTGTACCCATGGCCCCTGGGCAATATGGCTGTCTAAATGAGACCTGAACAATGATAATACCAATAAATATGCCAACAAGGGGAAATACCATGGGGTCTCATCCCTAAGCAAAGAACTACAGACAACTAATGATGGCAGAGAAAGGAAAAATTAGACTGCCTCAGGGATGGGCCCTCTAATTAGTTATCCATGACAAAATGGTCAGCCCTGAAATCACGTACACATAAGCAACACTGAGTGGACTCCAAAGATTGTATTTACATATTTCTGCATATATGTATCACTAATAATCAATGAAAAAGGGCCATCACTTTAAAAGGTAGTTGGAGGGGTTGGGAAGGGTTGAAGGGAGGAGAGGAAAGGGGGAAAAGTATTTTTTTTTAATGAAAAGAAAAACTAAGGTTGGGGATTTAGCTCAGTGGTAGAGTGCTTGCCTAGCAAGCGCAAGGCCCTGGGTTCGATCCTCAGCTTCAAAAACAAAAAAACAAAAAAAAAAAAAAAGAAAGAAAAGAAAAACTAATGAAGCATTGCCTGTGTCTTGGGCCCCTGCAATGCCACTTTAAAATCAATTGCTATGACATGCACATCCCCTGCTTGGTGCTTCCCACATGGTCACTCACCAGCCACACTACACATCCTGCGATAGGCACTGTTGTCCTCACATGACAGATGAGGGGTCTGAGGCCTGGGAGAGTTCCATAAGGAGTTCAGCAGCTGGTGAGTCTAGCTCTTGAGCTGTTGTTCTCACAAACGGTGCTCCACGGCCCACAGAATCCTTGGAGACGGGGCACAGAGCAGCCTGTATTTAGAACAGTGACTGGGACGTTTTTTATGGCTCACTGGATTTCAAGTGTGTTCCTTGTAGCTCAGAGGTATCTTGGTCTTGCTCTACTAAGTTCTTGGACATTTCTTAACACCCACGTGTAGTATATGCATTCATTTCATAGATGATCCTTAGTAAAAAAAAAAAAAAAATTTAACACAGATAACAGCTTCCTGCATAGCTGTCATTTCCAGAGACATAAAGCCTGTACCTGAACATGGAACCAGCTTGCATCCATCTAACATGTTGACAGGAATTACTTAGCAAGTTAAAGCCTTCCACCAGGGACAGTGATGCAGCCTGTTCTGTACAAGGACATGTTTTCTTGTCCCAGGATTATGAGTGGCCTGCTGAGAGCCACATGCAACAATGACATGGGCTGGAGGCACAGCTCAATTGCAGGGCACATGCCCAGCATACACAGGTTTAAGAGTTAATCTCCAGAAACACACACACACACACACACACACACACACACACACACGGGATGGGGCGGGGGCTGAGGATTAACCTTATTGCAAGCAAAATGATGCCTGTTTGCTCAGTAGCTGAGAAGAGATGTCTACCTCCCTGCCCCCACCCTGCATGTCTCAGCTAGGTACTCCTCAGGTACTCCTCAGGTACTCCTCAGGCAGGAAAAGATAAAGCCTTTTGATGTATGGGATGACCCTGAGCCTTTAGAGAAGACACCCCATGGATTATTCTCTTATAGGCTAAAATGGAATTGTAGTAGTACTAAAATAAAAAGAGTAAAAAAAAAAAGGCAACAAGGTAAATATACATGTCTTCAGCTCACTGCAGATACCTCTCAGCACGCTGCTTCCTGTTGACAAGAACTGTGTCCTAACTACCGTGGATCTCCACCCATGTGATGTTTGTGCCATTTGCACAGCTAGACTGGTTACACCTGTTTCCAACTGTTGAACTGTGAGTCATCAGTTCGGAGGTTGCTTAAGCAGCTTTCCTGGGCAATTTATCCTGCATACATTTTAAAATCCCATAATAGAAGCCAGCCAAGGCAGCACATCTATTGTATGCTGTCCTATGAGGCTGAAATCTGAAAACAATTTGAAATAGAGGTTGGTAGCAGACCGAGAGCAGCTGGGGTGAGCTACCAAGGCATAGGTCTTGCGTGTTGGTGGTCAGGTTTAGGAGAGGGTCTGAGGGAGAAGACGTGTGGGGTGTGGGAAAGTGAGGGGAAGGGAACGGAGGGGGTGAACAGAAAAGAAAGAAAGAGCAGAGGGAGAAAAGAAAAAGGGAAGGAGACAAAGAATGATCGGGGGCTGGGAGGCGGCTTAGCAGGTAAAGCACTTCCTCACATGAAGACCTGAGTTTGGATCCTCAGAAACCCCGTAAACCCTGGTGCAGTAGACACAGGAGCTATGGAAGGGAGACTGGAAGCTTTGGGCCAGCAAGGCTGGACTAGCGAATGAACAACCAAAGAGAACGGCTCTCAAACAAACTGGAAGGTGAGGATCGATACTTTAGGGCGTCCTCTGACCTCTGCATGTACACCAGGGCGCACATGGGCCCCCTTCCCCAAACGAACACATTTATGCACACAGACACAAAAGAATGGATAGAAAGAAGGAACAAGAGGGGAGAGAGAAATGAAAGAAGGGAGGATGATGGACAGGCTGAAGACAACACGGGATGCCCAGGTGAATCATAACGTCAGTATTTTCTCAGTATAAGCGCAGTCTCGTGCCATGCCCGACACATCATATACTTCAGAATCATCTGCCATTCCTTCAAGATTCTAATTTAGGCGAAGGTCAAGTATTCTATCTGGCAGCCCTACTTGGACAGTGACTGTTAATTCCAGTTAGAAAAGAACCCTTTTAGAAAACAGATGTCTTGAGGAAACTGGGCCATGGCTTCAGCAGCCAAGTCCTCGATAATTATGCCGCACAGTGTGTCAGGGTCCTGCATCTGGACAGTATTAATGGACTGGTTATAGTAATGGAACGGGGTTGCTTCGCTTTGAACACTATCCATTTCATTGATTTATTTGTATGAGTTGGAATGAACTAAAATTGGACAATGCTGATTCTGGAACTCAGGGCCCCGGAGGCATCTGGTGGTCATCCATTCCTTGTTCTCGACTTGCTCTCTCTCTCTGCCCAAAGCCTCGCTGGTACATATGCCTCACTACCATTCGCTTTAGTAATCAAAGAATTACAGTAAGTGGATCCCCTGAAACCCCCCCTCCCCCGGTAACCATTTAGATGTAAAAAAATAACAGACCCTGCTGAAGACAAAACGAATTCCCAAAGAAAGAGCAGGCTTAACCCATGCTTAAAACTACTCCTCCTCACCATAATCTATCTGGTTCCAGTTTGTCCAGAGTGGTAATAGCCCAGTTCAAAAAACAGGTACAGAGGGCCGGGAACTTGGCTCACAGTGGGTCAGGGGCTTGCCGCCAAACCTGCTAATCCGAGTTCAATTATCAGAACCCACATGGCAGAAGAGAGAAATATACTCTTATTTCCATACTTGTGTCATGGCACACGTAGTCATATACAAACACACATAGACACTGATTGAAAAGAGGCAGGCATTGCATGAAGAAAAAATAAAGAAAAAAATATACAAATAAAAAGTCCCAAAGAGCCAAAATATTCATAAGAGGCCAAGAGAAGATAAAGCAAAAATGGAGAAAAGGGCTATAAATGGAATTCAGTGGTGGACACCACACACACGCACTCATGTGCAGGCACACACTCACATGAACACACGTGCAGGCACACACACATGAACACATGTGCAGGCATATACACATGCACTCACGTGTAGGCACACACACATGAACACGTGCAGGCACACACACACACACATGAACACATGTGCAGGCATATACACATGCACTCACGTGTAGGCACACACACACATGAACACGTGCAGGCACACACATATTTACATACACATTCACACACACAGCTATGCATGCACACACATGTTCACACATTCACACATGTGCATGCACACACATACACATGTGTGCATACATGCTGGGAACAGAAGGAAGCAGCTCTGACCTGTGCTTGTGGCAGAAAGAGGAGAGAAGCAGAGAGATGGGAGGAAGTAGGCAGGAGGACTCGGAGTGTGCCGACTGACCGATATTTGAAGTGTGACCAGATAAAAGTCCAGTTAACTGTTCTAGCTGAGGGAAGCATGGTCAGTCAACAGACAGAGCAGGACAATAAATCTTGACACTGCTTTCTAAGAAGGGGAGCTAACTGCTGGTCAGCTGGGCTGTCACTGGGAAGACGAGGCTAGCCCATGTTGCGGACTCATGTATGAGGGCAGTGGTTCTCAACCTTCCTAATGCTGCGACCCTTTAATACAGTTCCACGTGCTGTGCTGACCTACAACCACTGAATTATTTTTATTGCTGCCTCATAACTGTAATGTTGCTACCATTATTATGAATTGTAATGCAAATAGTTTTAGAAATAAAGGGTTGGCGAAGGGGGTCGTGACCCACAGGTTGAGAACCACCGCACTAGGGTTTGCTTGGCCTAGATGTGGTGTGTTTCACTCTCAAAAGCCCTAGCTGAGCCCTGTCACCTTGGTTCATTGTTATGTCGTCAGTGTTTGATATAAAAATCTGCAGGCCCTAGGGCTGGCTTTGTGGAGGAGAGGGCACTGGTTGGCCTAGCCTTCCCGAGAACAGCTGGAGCAATAAAAACATAGATGCGGGAGTCATCCGCGTACTGGTGATAAAGCGGATGGGAAGGGGGCTTGTCTCAAGTGAAAGACAGAGAGAGACAAAGGCTACTGTTTAGGGCCCTTTCCCCTTCCATCAGGTTCACCTCTGAGGTCACACATTCCCATGCTCCACCCTGGACCTCATGAATCTGAATGGCAGAGGCCAGGGAGACCTCAAGAAACTGTGCTAAAAAATCCCCTCATGGGATCCTGTTCAAAAGTTTGTATCTCACAGGACAGAGGGATTTGTGTCAGGCGAAGTCAGGAGCGGGAACAAAGGAAGCATGTGTTTGTTGCCTTTGGCTGTTGACTGCCGGTGGCCAGAGCCAGCCCCTGGATCGGTCTGTGAGAACAGTGACATCCTTGAAGCCGGTGTGATCCCCAAACAGCGAAAGTGAGTTCAAGATGCTGGTAGGATGAGTCACAGCTTTGGTTCTTGTCCCAGCGTTGGGACTTTCATCACCAACCCTGAGTCACCCCTAGGTCCATGGATTGTAGCATGTAACTAGGTATGCCACCGTGAGTTATTCTGGGATTTCTTGGTAGTGCATCTTCTCTGGTTAACTGGAGTAGATTGGAGGCAGAAGATCGGAATTCACGGCTGACTCAGATGTTGGGTGAGGTAAAAGAATACGACTCACTGAATAGAGAGTGGTAAATTGTTGATAGGCATCCCATTCCCGGCTCAGCCTTTGTCTGCCAGGAGCAGGAAATCTCCATGCCCTCTGCTGTTAGAGTAAGGATGTAAGCCAGAATCCAAATGCTCTGAGAGATGAGGGTGTGTCAGCAAGCTACGGGCTGTCCTAACCTTGCCTGTCCAAACACTGAACACAGAATCATACAGATGTGAGGACTGCCTAGAAGGTCTAGTGGACAGACTCAGGGGTAGCAAGAGGAGAGGTGGGCCTGGCGTTTCACTGAAGAGAGAAGCTGGGTACCAATGATAGGAAACTCCGCTCTACCCCAGTCCTAGAGGTACACGCGGCCTAACATAGCCTGAGAAGCAAGGAGTCAAGTTGACTCAGTTGTAATGATTTCATTTACAATGCACCCCATGCAATGATTTGAGTTTTTGATTCACAGCTACTTTGTAAGGGACTCTTTTCTTTTCTTTTTTTCTTTTCTTTTCTTCTTTTCTTTTCTTTTTTCCTTTTCTTCTTTTCTTTTCTTTTTTTTCTTTTCTTTTCTTTTCTTTTCTTTTCTTTTCTTTTCTTTTCTTTTCTTTTTTCCAGAGCTGAGGACCGAACCCAGGGCCTTGCGCTTGCTAGGCAAGCACTCCACCACTGAGCTAAATCCCCAACCCCGGGACTATTTTCATAAGAGTAGCTGCTCTGCTTACACCATTCCATCTTTCACTCAGGACAGATCTGGAGTGAGTGTCCCAGACCCCGCTGCGGGAGAGGAATGACACATTGTAAACTTGCAAGGGTGGTGCCATTTCTTGTCACGGTTCAATAGGACAGGAAAGTCACTGAGGCGTGACTATGAAGGCCACAGAGTTGTCGTAGTATTCTTTCTTTAACACAGGGTCCCCCTATGTGGCACAGCTTGGCCTTCGGAGTGCCGGGGTTATAGGCATGAGCCCACAAGCCCAGCTGTACCATAAACGCATATGGGGGTCACTTTGAAATAAAACTCTTTATGACTGAATCCAGCATTGAACAACTGGGGCTGAGTGTGACCATACAACGCTGGGGTAGAGCACGCATCCTTCCTCCCCCTACTCCCAAGGGAGAGACGGTAAATAGCAACTGAAGAGCAGCTTCTACTTTCCTCTAGGAGGGAGGGGTAGGTCTGGGGGAGTATCAGCATTTGCATTTACAACTGCTATTTTCTACACAGTGGGTCAAACAAAAGTTGTTTTGTCTTCATAAGAAAAGCATCAGAGAGAGAGAGAGAGAGAGAGAGAGACAGAGACAGAGACAGAGAGACACAGAAAGAGAGACACAGAGAGAGACAGACAGAGAGAGACAGACAGAGAGAGAGAGAGAGAGAGAGAGAGAGAGAGAGAGAGAGAGAGAGAGGGAGAGGCGCAGAAAGGGGCTTATGCACATGGTTATGAATGCTGTAAATGTTTCCAAGATCATGGAAATGTAAAGTTGTTCTCTATAGACAAGCAGGCTGACAGCTTAAATACCCGTGAAATTTTAGATACACGAACACACAGATGATCAAGGAACTGCTTCCCATAAAACATGGTCCCTGGGGGAGGGGGATGAGATAAATGCTTGTAATGGGATATATTAACCATCTTCAGAAACAAGACCCAAACAAGTTAGGATCCACAGCAAAGTGGGACGCAACTGTGGAGGGAGCTAGACTGCAGGGCTGTGTGCCCGCTGGTAGCCAGGAGATTTACCCAGCTCCCGTGTGGGCGCATCTGTCCCTTCTTTAAATCCGATTTCTCACCATCTGTTCCTTTACTCCAGCCTTGGCTGTAAATAAAATCGACGCACAGCAATGCATTGTGTTGCCAGGCAGCAATCTGTGCTCCTCCAAAAGTCAATTCTGAGATGAAAGTCTGGGGGCTTCATCATTGTCTCGTTTCTCTGACAATGGAAATTGTGGGAGGGGGTGGAAGTGATTTTAGAAACTGGATTTCCAACTGCCTTTGGTAAACACGGAGTGCATAATTATCTGGTTTTTAAAATTCCGTAAGGAAACACTGAAATGAGTTGGGAGGATTTAGCGCTCTGAGAAGGATTTCCCTTGCCCTGAAGAACAGTAAGGACAT